TCTGTGGTTTACAATTTTAAAAAGTTTTGGGACATTTTTTTTTTTTTTTTTTTTTTTTTTTTTTTTATGAGCGAGTCCATTAATTGCATTCCTGATCAATGCCATTAAAAAGACAGCAATGCTATTCTTCTTGTTAAGGTCTAAATGGCTCTACTAATGACACATTAACCAAATTACAGTTTCACTGAAATTCTAAGTTAAATCAGCATCCTAAACCTGAGTCCTAAAATCCTTTAAGAACTTCCCTTCCCCCCCAACTAAAATCACCAAATAATATAAGCAGCAGCTTAAATGTAAATGCAGCCAAGTAGAATGGTTTTGACTTCAAAAGGGATTGATAATGTGAGAAAGATAGCTAAGTTTAAAAGATATTTGCAAGCTACTGGCATCCTATTGACTTTAAACAAGGAGATAAGGCTTCATTCCCAACCCTGTTAGCTGAAAGAATGAGTGAGTTGTCAGGATATCCTTATGTTGATATAAATCCAATGCCTTGTGCAGGAAAGCTTCAGCAATCACTTGCGTTTTAACTACTCCAAATCTATTTCTTCTGCAGTACCATATTTCTCATAAGAGACAAATTCTTCAACTGTTGATCCATTTATTATCTTAGTACTCAAAAGAGAAGCTCCACAGAGCCAAAGAATACTAAGCCTCTAAGAAGAAAAAATAATGAAACCACTAGAGAATTTTCTGCAAAGCCATAATTGTCATTTTCACGTTGTAGGTAGTAGACACAGATTCTTAATCACAATGAACTGGCTAAGACCACATTGCATCTTTTTGAAATGAATGGAGATTATTTCTGGGAGCAAGGTAGCAGAAGCCAGATCTAGCTGTGTGCTGGTAGAAGTTGTTCTGATCCCATTTACTTGTTCTCTGACGTAGTGATATTAAATCCCTCTATGGACCAGGGCATGCATGGCCAGTCTGATACAAAGGCTGACAAATCTTTCCAGAGGCTGAACATTGGGCAGGGGGATAAAATGCCCAGATTAAAAGGTTTGACTAAAAGTTTTGGTCAAAGCAGATTAGAAATTGGAAACGGTCTGTTATACTGCTAGATTCAGTTTGAGCCTGAACTTGATAAAGCAAACCAAAACAAAACTAAAAAGTGAGGCAAGGAACCAGCAGATTGCATAATGGTTACATTGCTGGACTCCCATGTGGTCAACGGCAGTTTGACTCCTGGACTTGGTGGCTTGAAACATGCCTGGCACGAGTGCATACATGCCCAAAATCCTGAGAGGAGAATGGAGGAGTAGGGATAGTGGCATGACAATCCCCCCTGGGGAGTGATTTCTTGCTTTCTGTCTGCCTCTCTGGTGAGTGCACGTGCCCTATAGCAAAAATCTAGCCTCTCAAACAAAACAAAACGAAACAAAACAAACAAACAAACAAACAAAAAACAAGTGAGGCAAAACCCCTAACTGTGAAAGTGAAAAATTTCTTGGAAGAAAGAACTTATGGTAAGGGGAATGAAAGTTCTTTTCAAATATTGAGAATGTATCCTATAACTAAGGACCCTAACCACATCAACACAAAGTTGAGAATTACATGTAGGATTTGTCAGCAGAAGGACGAGTCTGTAGTAATCAAAGTTTCCCTGAAAGGCAACATGCTACCTGGAGAGATAGTAAGCACCCCAGCAAAGCCGAATGTCTCCCTGATAGAGATAAAAGAGAAGATCAGAACACCGGGTAGTTGGAAAATTTTAGGTATTCGAGCCTTTGCTGACGTGATGGTAGTGTGACGACGACAGTGGTGGCAGAGGGGTAGGGATGTTGGTGATTATGAGGGTAGTGTTACTGCTCCAATAGTGGTGATGATGGCAGTGATGGTAGCTATGGATGGAAGTTGCCCTGGCTGTGGTAATGACGGGGTGGCAGTGATTATGGTGGGCATAGTCATAGTGATACCAGGGGTAATGGTCAGTGTGATGATGACGGTAGTGGTAGTGGTGATTGCAGACATGATGGCAGTGGCAATGTTCACAGTGGTGGTGATGATGGTGGCAGCAACAATGGTGGTAGCGCTGGTACATGACTTCTTGTGGAGTCATTCCAAGCCTGAGAGTTCATGGCTCCATGAAGAGCTACCAAATTTGTTTAGCTTAATAAACAATTAGAAGGAGTTCAAATAGAAGACAAACCATTTCAAATCAACATGAGCTCTCCTGAGAAATGTGGGTAATTTAAACTAATATTTTCTTTTCTTTTTTTCCTTGAGTAATTAACAAGGCCTTCAAGGAATGTCTCCATTGCACACTCATCTCATGATGTGTTTATGTCTTCCTCCACTAATCTTAAAAAGTGTTTCTACAGTTGGGTTTCATTCTTTCACAGCAACCACTCCCTGCTCATGGTGAGCAAAATTAAACACTTCTGTAGGCAATGCCATTATCATTGATAAATTCTGTGTGGCAAGTTTTGAGTTAACAAAAACGTTTGACAAAACCACTCCGCACTCTCCCATCCCACTCAGTATTAACACACCTCCAACATTCTTGCTGGAACTGTCAGGCCAAGGTTGTTCCTGCTGGTGTGGAAAACCTCAGAGATTGGAGATGGGATACGATGAAGATTCTGTTCACCAGTTTATCCGATGAACACAGGAATATATGGAATGCTCCAGAGTCTCAGCGTAATTATCTCTTTGGAGCAGCCTTCTGAAGCCTGCTTTTTCTAAGCCCCCATTAAGCCCATCTGTGAACTGAGCTAAGCCCATCTTGAACTTGTCTACCGTTTCAGTTTGCACAAGCTCTCAGGGAGGGAATCCCACATGTAGACTGCCTGCTGTACAAACTACTTGCCTTGATTTATTCTAAACACAATCTCCTTCACGCTCTGATAGGACAATCATTTTATTACGAGGTCTCTCTGTGTCCTCTCTCTTTCCTTCTCAACATTATTCAGAGATGAAAAAATGGTTATTGTAATTTCTATGTTGATTAACTTTATCTTGGACCTTATAGAAACAAGAAAAATGACTGTGTTTGGCTGGAAAACAGAGTTAAATAAGCCTTGTGCTGGATAAAAATGTTCCCTGCTTTCGCTTATTGCTTCTGAAAGCGAACAAGCACAGAAGCCGGAACCTCAGGTGGTGCATACAGAGGAGGCTGCGGCAGCAACCAATGCAGCAAAGGCAGAATTTCAACTTGAGGG